GTTCGTTCGTTTCGTTCGTTCGTTCGTTCGTTTCGTTCGTTCGTTCGTTCGTTCGTTGTCGTTCGTTCGTTCGTTCGTTCGTTCGTTCGTTCTTTCGTTCGTTCGTTCGTTCGTTCGTTCGTTCGTTCGTTGTTCGTTCGGTTAGTTAGTTAGTTAGTTTCGCCCTTCCAATAGCAACAAAGTGCTAGCACTTTTTGGCAAAGTTAATACTAATTCAATATTTTAGTTTCCCATGTCTGATAGGTGCTTACATACGTTTGTATGTGTATCTTCATATTATAAAGTTCATAAGCAAAATTGTGTTCATTATTATGAGAAGATTCTTTTTCCTTTAGTTCTTATTACGTACATACATATTGTTATATTTATTAATAAAATAATTTTCATACACACGTCTGCCCCATAGTATTATTGTTTGATAATTTGCTGTTTAACATTACTTTTTTTCCAGTAAAATTTATTCATAAACAAAATTATTTCCCACTCATACTTGTTACACTTTTTAAAAACTATCTCAAGCTCTCTCTTAATACAAAAAAAAACAAATTTGCCACAAACACTCTTTGTAGTTTTAATTTACACGTACTCTCTTTTTGGTTGTTATTATTTTATTAAGTGTTGCTGTTAATTTTAGTTTGTTGCTGCAGTTGTTGTTGTCATTACCCTTAGTGTATCTCTTGTTAAATTTATTGTTTTGATTCATTGTGGTACATAATAAACTCATACTCTTACAATTACTCATACTCGTATTCATGCACACAGATACTCAAGTTTTGTTGCATGCTGATGCTGGTCTCTGCCTGCCTGCCTGCCAGCCTGTATGTCTGTCTGGCTTTCTGCCTGTCAGCCTATTTACTGTTTTGTTTTGTTTACTTTTATTTAATCGCATATGTGTATTGGTATGTTGTGGTCGCTAGTCAGTGTTTTTATAGTTGTTGTTGTTGTTGCTATTTGGTTCATTATTATTCAGTGTGTCCAAAGATTGTTTAATTTACATCAACAACACAGCAAAGAAAACTGTATAAATTGTGTTGAGTTGTTTTTGCTTTCATTGTTGATGCTGCCACTCATTGCTGTTGTTGTTGTTGGTGGCTGCTGCTGCTGCTGCTACTACATATCCAACAATAATCTATACACACGACTACAACAACTACAGTTGTTGGTAGCAAAGTGTTATTGCTATTTTTTTTTTTGGTGTGTTTTGTATTTGAGTGTTTTTTGTTGTGACTGAATATTTGTGGAAGTCTTAATTGTGATCTCGTAAAGTAAAGTGTTTGTTCGGCAGACAAAAATCTACATAACACAGATAAAAAGAAATTGTTCTGAAAGATAAATTTGGTAAGAATTTGTTTGCAAAAATAAAAAGTGAGAAAAAAAAAAATAATAAACAAAATGTACATACACAAAGACATTCCTTTGTGGCAGTTGAACTATTAATAAATTTTGTGTTAATATTTGCTATTTAAAAATGGAAAATTAATTATAGTTAAAAACTAGTGAATTTGTTTAAACATTTTTCTTTTAAATTTAATTAAATTATTAAAATTTTCTGCAATTTTTAATAAAACTTATTAGTACATACTAGCTAGACTAAGAAAAACCCTACATCCAAATCACCAATCATTTAAATTAGTTCAGTGAACTAGTCACAAAATGCCGTGGACTCTTTTCTTAAACATCACAGTTGTTCTATATAATCGGGAAATCAGTTCCGGTACTAGTTATAATCGAAGTGTATTAGGTCCCCTACGAAATAGGTGTTTTTTTATTGTCGGACTGACCGTGTGTTTTATTTTTGTATAGAATGGATATACATAATCATCAGATTGCAAATCGGAAACAGAAATTTTCGGAAAATGCGAGATCGTAGTCTAGCGAAGTATTAGAGCCAAATCCTGTGGGAATCTGTTGCTCTTAACTGTGTAATTTCGTAACTATACGGCTGTTTTTGAGATAGTTATGAGCGTGAAAGTAATTTTCTGAAGGGGTTCTTATATGGGGAATAGGGCCAATTATGGACCTATCATTTGGTAATGTGATTTTTGTTCCAATAAACTTGTTTAAGTCATATTCGGAGGGAGGTGGACCTTATATGGGGCGATTGAATTGGAATTAAGGACTGATACTCATAAAATTTAGTAGAGATTTTGATTTCAATTAAAATTATTTTTAAGCTAGTAATGATCGTTAAAGTCATTTTCTAAAAGGGACCTTATATGGGGCGATAGGGCCAATTATGGACCGATTCTGATAAAATTAAAAACAAATATGAAACTTGTTTATGACGTATTTCGTCGCTATAGTGATCTTATTAAACTAATTATGAGAGTTAAAATTACTTTGTGAAATGGACCTTATATGGGAGGTAGAGTCAATTAAGGTCCGATGACCAGCACACATTAACATTTCATACATATAAATTTTAAAAAATATTTTAAACATTTTTTATAAATTGTCTGTAGTTGTTGAGATATCATCCGTTGAAATCGGACGGATGGACTGACATTGTTAAATCGACTCAAAAAGTGATTTAGAATCGATTGGAACATCCTCAGATATGTGTGGATCCAATATTTTTGCTCTTTACAAACAATATTTATAAAGCATAGTGTAGGTTAAAAATACAATATACTATAACCATGAATTTTCAGGCTTTAGGTGAATACATCTCGAAAAAATTAAGATATGACGGATGTTAAGTTGTAATTTAAAAGATTACAGAGTAGACTTTCAGATGGTATACAACATTTTATAAATAAAGTTGTCTTGGCGCTGTTATAACGTTTCAAAAAGAGCAAAAAGGCGTTTTTTTTTCAAAATTCAACACACGAATCACATATGTGTAGAGCAGTACTGATACCAATTCTTTTCCAGCTGCCTCAGAATCATTTTGTGAGTTGTTCATCGGATATTGAAGATAATTTTGAGTATTTAGATTGATATCGGTCCATTATTTCTAAGCGCCGGGCCCTTAACTACGTTTTATATAAGTTCAAATCATACAGACGATTTTCGTAATGACCGGATCTCATTTGATCTTAGCCCCTATACAAAGTCCTACTCAGAAAATAGTTAATAATCTTTATAATCGTTAATTTCTTTATAAACAGTAGGATAACTAGTTTTGGCTATCATATGCTCGGTCATGTCCGAATTACTTTCTGAGTCAATGCAGCATTGTCTGTCCGTTAATTCTAAAACTTGTAATCCAACTACAGATCGCAATTTTACTTTAAAATTCCATAATATTTTCGTTAAAATCGGTTCATTTTTCGTATAACTTTCATACAACTGTACACTCCGAATTTCTAAACTAAGATTATTCAAAAGTCATATGTGTAAAGTAGAAGTAGTGAACATTCGGATAGGTTGGACCTTCTCTCTCAGAAAATGAGTTTTCTCCAAATTTACTCACTAAGTTTTAGGTGAATGAATCTAATATTTGATCTTAAGACCCATATATTAACATCCTCCGAAATTATTCTACAAATCGCTTAACGGTAGAGTCAAGTCAATTAATGACTGAAGGCCCGATAAAGGACCGCTTTTAAAACTCAATTAAATTGTTTTTCAATTCGATTTAGTATCGATTTTGTTATGAGATTCAATACTGTTTGTAATAAAAAAGACAAGTAAGAAAGTATAGTCGTGCGTAGCCGGCCTTATGATACCCTACACCAGTTATAAGTAAAGCATTTATGTATCTTGAATATTACCTTGTTTCCAATATATTTAAGGATGAAATTTAAGGACGAAAAACAAATTTTCTAAAAATGACATTATATGGGTGGCTAGGGGTAAATATGGACCGATCCCGAAAAAAAATTATATTTATATAATATTTATTTGTGCTGAATTCCAATGCGATGTTGTTTATAAGTGAATTTTGGACATTGAAGTCATTTTCTGAAGGGGACTTATTTGGGACTTATATAGGTGAAATTAGACCCGATCTTTATGAACTTTGGCAAAATCATTAAGGCTTGTATAAAGCTTAATTAAGCCGCCTTTTATCGAGATACAAGTGTGTTTAACATAACTATGTGCTCAAAAGCCCTTTTGGGGAGGTTCTGTTATTTTGACAACTTCCAATAGGGTTCGAGCTTGGACCAAATGTGACAAATTTCATCAAATTATCTTGAAAATTACGACCTGTGGCGGATGAACAAGGTTTACATGGACACATAGACAGACAGACAGATGGACGGACAGAAGGACTTTGCAAATCGACTCTGAGCCGATTGGTATACTTTTGGGTGTAGGACCAATATTTTTGTGTGTTACAAACATCAGCACTAACGCATAATACACTCTCCACTATGGTGGTGTTGGGTATAATAATGGACCGATTTTAAGCATTTTCAATAGGATCGGTCCTTGGACCAAAAGAAACCTATGTGCTAAATTTCAGCCAGTCATACTGAAAATAGGAATCTGTAGCTTGCGTACAAACTTTATATAAACAGCCAGCCAGACAGATGGACGGGCATGGCTTAATCGACTCAGAAAACGATTCTAAGTTGATTGGTATACTTTAAGGTGTTGAATTCGTTGAGAAATGGTAAATAACTGACAATATGCTTCTAGCAAGTGTAGGGTGTTATATAGTCGGTCATGACAGTCTGCAGTTTTTTACTGTTTTTCTTTTAAATTTGTGACATACGGTCGTCCATAATTGACCATATTTTTCTAGTAAGTCTAGGGTGTTATATAGTCGGGAATGACCGACTATAGTTCCACTCAACTTTGTGAAAAAACTTTTAAAATTTCCAAACGGGTTGTTATTTAATAATAGTATATTTAATTTTTTTATTACTTAATAATCTCATTATGTTGTTAGGTATTTAATTATTCTTCAATAATTCCAATTATTTTAATTATCATAATTTCAATGAAATTTATCTAAAGTATACTAACAAAATTTGCAAATTAATACCCTTACCACCTTTAACAGCATCCATTTAACAAAAAGCATCTCAATTGTGTTTGTATACCTGCAGATAAAATACACATAAACAGCCAACAAACGGAAACGGACATGCGCCATATTGAATAATGAGAAATAACAACAACTACTAACAAAAAAGCAAAAACAGTTGGTATGGTAGTGTTAACGTCTACAGCAAATACATACCCATACATACTGGAAAAAAACTTGGCAGCAAAAACAGTTAACACTCTTTTTTAACTCAAGTGTAGATGCACAAACACATTAAAGAGCCATTGGTGTTGTTACGAAAAACAAGTTAAGAGAGATAAAGAGCATTGAGTAGGTTTTAGACCAAAACACTCAGTGTCAATAGAAGAAAATAAGAGTTAATGAAAAACAAAACAGTTAATAAACAAAAAGAGTAATAAGTTAAGAAATTGTTAAGAGCGCCATGGCTTTTACACGCCATCAAATAGAAAAAAGACGTTTAATTGAATTGGTTAAATTGAACCCAATTCTATGGGATTGTCGTTTGCCGCACTACAAACGATCTGACAAGAAAAAGGCCTTGAAATGGAATGAATTGGGTCGCATCTTTAGTGTTAATGGAGAAAGAGTTCAAAGAACTTTTACCTCGTTGAGAGAAATATTTAGACGTGAATTGAATCATGAAAAAATGCTGGGCACCAGATTTAAATCCAAATGGGAGTATTATGATGAAATGGCTTTTCTCAAGGAGGTGATACGGGAAAGAAAGTAAGTTTTTATTTAAAACACAAAAAGTTCAGTTAAACAAATATTTTATTAATTTTTAAAAATTTGTTACAGATCTCGTGAACGGGCCAAATCTAATGATGTTATGCCGCCTAATTTGAATACCACTAATAATAACACTTCTACCGGCATAGATGAATATCAGTATTTTGCTCCCAATGACCCCAATAATCCACAAAATCAATCAACCACACCTCCCATTACTACAGCAGCGGCGGCTCCTCTACTACCCATAACACAGACGGTAACAGTTACCCCTACAACTAGCATCCAAAATGGCAATACAACACCTTTATTACCGCCCTCCATAAATCCCCCCAGTAGTTTACCCTTAACCACCTTGACCACCATAGCCAGCTCGCAGCTACAACCTGATGTTTTACTCAATCTAACACCCAGTACTTTGGCAGCTTTACAAAAACTAAATGCATCCGGTAATGCGTTTCCAACCCAACAATTACCCTCACGGCCCCTCTCAAGAGCCCGATCTCTAACCATACGCTCTTGTTCATCGTCACCCTCTATTTACATAAAAGATGAACCCGATTCTCTTGAAGACACCATTTCGTTGGACACCAATTCGAATGGTAAAATCAAAGATACTCACCAATCTTTAGCCAGCCGTTCCAAGGACGCCTCCGCTAAACTTTTACTAAATTCCAAAAATCTTAATTCCTCTACCCAAAATCTAGTCATAGATGAACGAGACTGTTCCGATTTGGATGATGATCCTGATGATGATGTTGATATGTTGGATGATCGACTCTCGATTGCCACCTCACTGCAGAGTTTAAATAAGGAAACTTTGGCCGGCGTAGGTAATAATAATAATCCTCCCCATCCTACGCATCGTTCCCAGCAAGTGCAAAATTTGTTTCCTAAACCAACCGCTAGAGAAATACTCTATACGAAATTTGGTGAATTCTTAGCGGCTCGCTTGAATACCCTTAATGAGACAGTGGCCAATGAACTGATGAATAAAATTTTAATGTTGATAGCGGAAAAGTAAGTGGGGGAAAATTTAATATATCAACCGATTTTAGGGTATTTTGTTGAAAAATTTTATATTAATTGACTGAAGTTTACTTTATTTAAGAACCAAGATGAAATCGTAACTTAAATCAGAATATTATACTATAAACTAAAGTCAAGACTGCAAACTGGACTATAGTCAAGACAATAGACTACACCATAGTCAAGAACATTGATAATGCCATAGTCAAAAACAAAGACTCAACTAAAGTTGCAGTAACGACTACAAGATTATATGTAGACTAAACTATAGTCAAGATTTCAGACTGAAATATAGACAAGAGTATTTCATATTGAATACTACCGATTTGTCAAGATCAAACATAGACTATAGACTATAGACTTGACTATAGACTAGACTATAGACTAGACTATAGACTAGACTATAGACTAGACTATAGACTAGACTATAGACTAGACTATAGACTACACTATAGGCTAAACTATAGAATAGACTATAGACTAGACTAAAGACTAGACTATAGACTAGACTAGACTAGACTAGACTATAGACTAGACTATAGACTAGACTATAGACTAGACTATAGACTAGACTATAGACTAGACTATAGACTAGACTATAGACTAGACTATAGACTAGACTATAGACTAGACTATAGACTAGACTATAGACTAGACTATAGGCTAGACTATAGACTAGACTATAGACTAGACTATAGACTAGACTATAGACTAGACTATAGACTAGACTATAGACTCGACTATAGACTAGACTATAGACTAGACTATAGACTAGACTATAGACTAGACTATAGACTACACTATAGACTAGACTATAGACTAGACTATATACTAGACTATGGACTAGACTATAGACTAGACTATAGACTAGACTATAGACTAGACTATAGACTAGGCTATAGGCTAGACTATAGACTAGACTATACAGACTAAACTATAGACTAGACTATAGAATAGACTATAGACTAGACCATAGACTAGACTATAGAATAGACTATAGACTAGACTATAGACTAGACTATAGACTAGACTGTAGTGTAGACTACTAACTAGACCATAGACTAGACTATAGACTAGATTATAGACTAGACTATTGACTAGATTATAGACTAGATTATAGACTGGTCTATAGACTAGATTATAGACTAGACAATAGACTAAGCTATGGACTAGACTATAGACTAGACTATTGATTATAGACTAAACTATAGACTAGACTATAAACTAAACTATATAATAGACTATATACTAGACTATAGACTAGACTATGGACTTGACTATAGACTTGACTATAGACTTGACTATAAACTTGACTAGAGACTTGACTATAGATTTGATTATAGGGTAGACTATAGACTAGACTATAGACTAGACCATAGGCTAGACTATAGACTAGACTATAGACTAGACTATAGACTAGACTATAGTCTAGACTATAGACTAGACTTTAGACTACACTATAGACTAGCCTGTAAACTAGCCTACACTTTAGACTATACTATAGACTACACTTTAGAGTAGCCTGTAAACTAGACTACACTCAAGACTATAGTCAGTATTGTAGTGTTTATTGGTAATATTTTGGTTAGTACGAATTCCCTTTTAATCAAAATTTCTTAAAATATATGTATATTTTTTTCAAAATTATGTAAATGATAAATGTTATTTTAGTATTAAGTATAAGTATTGTATTAAAATTGTCCTTTGTTTTCCATTGAACTCTAAGAGTTATAGCCAAATAAGTTAGAAAACTTTTTACCCAAAAGACTATTTGTTTAAACATTATTATCAGTTTAAGTTTTACAATTAAAAGTAGTTATTTTAGAATATTTTTTTAATATAATTTTTAAAAAATATCGTATATTTATTATGAATTGATTCCGGTGCCAAAAATTAAAGAAATATGAACATGTAATGGAATTTTTTTATTAAAGTACTATTTTGTGGATATAAAAGTGTTTTATTTTGTAAAAGTTGAAAGTTTATTAATTTAGATTAGCTTTTACTCTTTCAAAAACTAAGGATGAAACTTGAAGATTCAATATATCAATAATTTTTCTTTATTTATTATTTAAACTTTATACTAATACATTTGCAATTACTTTTAACAATAATGTTAGAAAATCTTTACTTCAAATATCGAAATGATGAATTCATAAGGAACCATAAATTGGTTAATTTTAGAGGTTGTGATTAGAAGGTGGGTATATAAGGTTCGGCATAGATAGATTAGGGTATATAAAATTCGGCATAGCCGAATATAAAAATCTTATTAGTTTTCATAACGTTATAAAGAAAATAAACTTCTACACTTTAAATTTATGTCTAGCAGCCTACATAGAAAATAATCTTTATAAGTACATGTACGAAATACGAAACTATATAAAAAATTGTTGCCCACTTCAGACCAAACAACATGCAGCAGAAACAGCAACAAAACACACATTTCAATATTTACGAGTTCAGCCTTTTTGTAATTTTTCTAAAACATTTGTATTTTAACACAATATTTTATTTTATTTCAGTTTATTTCTTTTAAGTTACGAATGTGTAAATTCTTTGCAGCTTCTTAGACACTTTGAAATAGTAAAATGTACAAGGCAAAAAGGGCTTAGACGTATATTTTTTAACACTTTTGAACTAAGAACCTGGGAAACTAGACGACGTGAAGAGAATAATGGCAATTTTACAACTACTATATACTAAACGTATTTAGATTGAGATTTTCTATTTGGTATGGAAAAGTGCAACACATATTGTATGCAATTATAACGGCTTTTTACTGCCAAAATGCCACTTAGAAAAATAAAGCAAAAAGCTAATATTATAAGTGTGTGTTGGAAGCAGATTTAGGGAAATACATATACTATTTGGCATACACATTTCTATAAACAAGTTGAAATGCATGAATGAATTGTTATGTTTGACACACATAATACCCTACATGTGGAAAAGTTTAAAAGTAATTCATCAAAAAAAAAAAATTCAAACAAATATTGCAGAACTTTAGAAAGAATCTAGAACAGAGTTAGAACAGAACTAGAACAGAACTAGAACAGAAGTAGAACAGAACTAGAACAGAACTAGAACAGAACTAGAACAGAACTAGAACAGAACTAGAACAGAACTAGAACAGAACTAGAACAGAACTAGAACAGAACTAGAACAGAACTAGAACAGAACTAGAACAGAACTAGAACAGAACTAGAACAGAACTAGAACAGAACTAGAACAGAACTAGAACAGAACTAGAACAGAACTAAAAGAGAACTAGAACAGAACTAGAACAGAACAAGAACAGAACTAGAACAGAACTAGAACAGACCTAGAACAGACCTAGAACAGACCTAGAACAGAACTAGAACAGAACTAGAACAGAACTACAACAGAACTAGAACAGATCTAGAACAGAACTAGAACAGATCTAGAACAGATCTAGAACATAACTAGAACAGAACTAGAAAGAAACAGAACAGAACTAGAACAGAACTAGAAACAGAACTAGAACAGAACTAGAACTAGAACAGAACTAGAACAGAACTAGAACAGAACTAGAACAGAACTAGAGAACAGAACTAGAACAGAACTAGAACAGAACTAGAACAGAACTAGAACAGAACTAGAACAGAACTAGAACAGAACTAGAACAGAACTAGAACAGAACTAGAACAGAACTAGAACAGAACTAGAACAGAACTAGAACAGAACTAGAACAGAACTAGAACAGAACTAGAACAGAACTAGAACAGAACTAGAACAGAACTAGAACAGAACCTAGAACAGACTAGAACAGAACTAGAACAGACTAGAACAGAACTAGAACAGAACTAGAACAGAACTAGAACAGAACTAGAACAGAACTAGAACAGAGCTAGAACAGAACTAGAACAGAAGTAGAACAGAACTAGAACAGAACTAGAACAGAACTAGAACAGAACTAGAACAGAACTAGAACAGAACTAGAACAGAACTAGAACAGAACTAGAACAGAACTAGAACAGAACTAGAACAGAACTAGAACAGAACTAGAACAGAACTAGAACAGAACTAGAACAGAACTAGAACAGAACTAGAACAGAACTAGAACAGAACTAAAACAGAACTAGAACAGAACTAGAACAGAACTAGAACAGAACTAGAACAGAACTAGAACAGAACTAGAACAGAACTAGAACAGAACTAGAACAGAACAGAACTAGAACAGAAACTAGAACAGAACAGAACAGAAACTAGAACTAGAACTAGAACAGAACTAGAACAGAACTAGAACAGAACTAGAACAGAACTAGAACAGAACTAGAACAGAACTAGAACAGAACTAGAACAGAACTAGAACAGAACTAGAACATAACTAGAACATAACTAGAACAGAACTAGAACAGAACTAGAACAGAACTAGAACAGAACTAGAACAGAACTAGAACAGAACTAGAACAGAACTAGAACAGAACTAGAACAGAACTAGAACAGAACTAGAACAGAACTAGAACAGAACTAGAACAGACTAGAAAGAACTACAACAGAACTAGAACAGAACTAGAACAGAACTAGAAAGAGAACTAGAACAGAACTAGAACAGAACTAGAACAGAACTAGAACAGAACTAGAACGACCTAGACAGACCTAGAACAGACCTAAGACAGAACTAGAACTAGAACAGAAACCTAGAACAGAACTAGAACAGAACTAGAACCGAACTAGAACAGAACTAGAACAGAACTAGAACAGAACTAGAACAGGAACTAGAACAGAACTAGAACAGAACTAGAACAGAACTAGAACAGAACTAGAACAGAACTAGAACAGAACTAGAACAGAACTAGAACAGAACTAGAACAGAACTAGAACAGAACTAGAACAGAACTAGAACAGAACTAGAACAGAACTAGAACAGAACTAGAACAGAAACTAGAACAGAACTAGAACAGAACTAGAACAGAACTAGAACAGAACTAGAACAGAACTAGAACAGAACTAGAACAGAACTAGAACAGAACTAGAACAGAACAGAACTAGAAAACTAGAACAGAACTAGAACAGAACTAGAAACTAGAACAGACTAGAACAGAACAGAACAGAACAGAACTAGAACAGAACTAGAACGAACTAGAACAGAACTAGAACAGAACTAGAACAGAACTAGAACAGAACTAGAACAGAACTAGAACAGAACTAGAACAGAACTAGAACAGAACTAGAACAGAACTAGAACAGAACTAGAACAGAACTAGAACAGAACTTAGAACAGAACTAGAACAGAACTAGAACAGAACTAGAACAGAACTGAACAGAACTAGAACAGAACTAGACCAGAACTAGAACAGAACTAGAACAGAACTAGAACAGAACTAGAACAGAACAGACTAGAAAAACAGAACTAGACAGACAGAAACAGAACTAGAACAGAACTAGAACAG